GCCTGTAGTTCATGGTATGGTACCTATTAGGTCTGATCGTTGTTGGTAGTCTCTTTTTTGTCATTTAGCTCAATATGGTTGGTGCGTTTGAGAACATTTTGGCTGACATATTTTTATCTGGAATAATGAAGTTTCAGTACTATTTTCTTCATACTCTTGGCTTTTTGAGGAAAATGAGCTTTCTCAGCTTCCATAACTTGACTGTTTTCGATCGTAGCGACGTTGCCATGAGCATTTATGAGCGTTTTGCTTGCTTTGTATTGAACAACTTTGAAGATCTTATGTGTATTGTCGCCCCTGTTTGAGCAATCTAATACCTTTTTTTTCGGAAAATTTTATCATTAATGGTACTTTAATTTTGTTTGGTATAGTAAATAAATTATTAAAATTTAAAGTAGAAGAATCAGTTTTTTGAGTAGAATTTATGAAATTTAATTTGGTTCATGTCAAATTTTTTTTTTATTAAATGTGTTGTCCTCTATAATTTGGAGATGAATACAAGAATGTTCAATGTAATCTATTTACTCAATATAGCTCTAGATATATATAAATAACTACTTTGGAATTTTTTATCTATGCAATGTATTTAAAAAAAAAAGGATAATTAAATTGCTAATGACTTCCAAAATTCCTGGAGGTTTGTCGGCCACCTTTACGCAGTGCCGTTAATAGTAGTTTAGCGTAGATGAAGCTAGGATCCTGAAAATCATTTTGATGTACATAGCAACTCCCTGCACTGCTTACTAGTACGGATAAGATATTCGTCATGGGATCCTTTCAGGTCACCTAAGTGAAACATAAGCTTCAATTAAATATCATTGATGCCTGACACATCATACATTGTCGTTAAACATAAGGGATCTTTTCTCTACAGTGAAATTATAGGGGTTTAGTTTTGATTCGGAAATAGCATAGGAATAATGCATGTTCTAATGTTTAAAGAATGCTTCATGCAAATATAACTGGCGCATATGCAGTGCACTTAGTGTCTCGTACCTAGGATGTAAGACTTCTGGGTAATAGTCAAAATAATAATGAAAAAAACTTCCAAAGTTCTATAATTTACACATTTGTTGTGTAAAAATGAAAATAATGATATTCTATGAAATTTTATTAGTTCTATTTTAGAAGTAGGCACTTATTGGAACGTTTGTATTTTCTACGGCCAGAACCTCCCTCACCTCTAAAAATGACTTTTCTTTAAGTCGCTGTCGACTGTCTTCACGTTCTGGAACAACATAGTTCGTAGAGTCTGCCCCTTTTTTATTCGTAGTCGCCATTCCCTCATCCACAGTCTCTTTTATATGCGCTTCTTTTGTTAAATTTCTAGTCTCAGTCTTACACAAAGCATCCCGCTGGCACGAAAAGCCTTTCGTTATTCCTGCCGAGGGTGTACGTGGAATAATAGATTTGTCTTCCTGTGAAAATGTGAAAAGGGGCATCCGTGCCGCAGTATCCTCAGCGTAGGATCCTGATTCTTTTAGGGAAATTGAACGGCTGCTCACGCGACCGTCAAGCCCCCGATGCGCATCGAGGCTGGGCGATGGCTTCCACGACGTCGCATTGGATGTTAACCCGGGAGAAAGAGATCCCTTTGCACCCCCCCATGAGCTCCAATGCCTCCCACTGATGCTTGTGCTGCGTTGAACTTGCAGCAATGCCATTTGTGTATGCTGAAGCTCTTGTGATAGCTTTTCCCTGTGTTCATCCGTTTTTTGTAGCTGCTCCCGCAGTTCATTATTTTTTTCTTGAAGGCCATGAATATGTTCTTCACAACTCGAAAGCTCACTTTTCATGCGTGTGGCCGCATTCTCTCGTTCTGAAAGAAGGGCTTGATGCGTGTGTAACTGCTCTGTAGCCACTTTGAAGCGTTCCTTCGTGTTTTTTATAATCTGAAGCTGGTTACCAATAATGTAATTAGCCTTATCAAGAGATTTTTTTATATGTTGAAGTTTATCGTTGAGTTGTTCGTTTTGGTTATTTAGAATATTTATATAGTTATCCTGTTTCTGGAGGTGTGATTTTGCAGTTTCGAGTTCTTCTTCCTTACTTTTTAAAGAAGATATAGAACTCCGTAGACGTTCACTAAGCGAAACGTAATTGAGCTCATTTTCCGAAATAATACTTGTTGCTTCCATTTTGTACATCTTGAGATCCTGACACGATTTACGAAGCTTCTCAAGTTCCAGCTCCTGAGCATCTCGGGTTTCCTCAAGGTGCTTATTCTCCGATTTGAGCGATCTCAAAGTCGACTCCAAAGCATCGTTATGCTTACGTAGTTCATCGATAATTATGTTCTTCTCTCGGCAGTCTTCCTTTAAACGCTGCTCAATGCTTTCAATTTTATTCTGAGAATCTTTCAACTTATCCTCATAGCTATTACGAAGCGCTTGTACATCATTTTGATGTCCATCACGTAATGTGTTTAGGGAGGTCAGTTTATCCTTTTCAGATTGTGCTCTCAAAACTCTCAACTCCTCATTAAGAGATCGATTTGCTTCAGTCAACCCTTCAACACGATGCTTCAAATCCTGGATCATCCGATGTGCCTGCTCTCCCTCCTCTTTGCGTTCCAGATTGCACTGAAGAAAAGCTTGCTCAAAGTGTTGAAATCGTTCTGCAAGATACGTTTTTTGCCCTGTGTCACCCTGTCGTATGAGGATTAAAGAAATGTGTTCTACAGTCTTAAATGAAGTAATTTCGATGATTCGAAATGTACCACGATTGGGATCGTTCGCATGTACAGAAAAGCTGATTTGAAAAGGAGATGTACCTTGGGTAATTCCTTGAATCATGTTCACAAAAAACCGTGGGAAACCATAAAAATCAACCAAAAGCTCAAGCCTTTGCTTGAATTCACTGTAATCCTCTTCAATAAGCTCTAACTCAAAGAGAAAAAAAGGATCTTCTGGATCTGTTAGACGAATGAGAATTGTTCTCAGTGTACCATGTGGGCCCCCTCGGCCTAAGCGAATGCAAAGACCAAGTGAATGTATGGCTGCGGTTTCATCTCTTGAATGCAGCTTAGCTGACATAGGCATCACAACCTCCAAAAGGGTACTTCCCTCCCCTGAGATATCGATTCCATTGACTGAAGACTCAGCAAGAGTGCCATCTCTTGGTACAGTATTAGGTAAAGACGTCTTGGAAGGCAATTTGTGCGTGAAGAAATGAGTTGTATCGAATGCTTTCGGTGAGTTTCTGTCGTCTCCGACATCAGAATTATTGTATACGCTATAATCAACTATTCTACTGGAGTTCATAGTTATTGTTGGTTAAAATAATAAAAACAGTATATTCTATGTATGGTTTCACACTATATATATATATATATATATATGTGTGTGTGTGTGTGCGTATGTGTTTATTTTTTAAGTATACCGAATCACAAAAAAAATCTTCTATTTTTGTCCGTTCTAGTAAAATTAAAAGATAGGGATGATATAAAATTTAAGGAACAATTATAAAAACTAATAGTAACAATGTTACTTTCACTTCAGCATTAAAGGTAGACAAATAATATATATAATATCCTATATAATGTACTTTTTTTTCTTCTCTATGTTCTTGGGGTGGTCTTATCTTCTCTCTCATGCATCTGTATCAGGTAGCTCTAAATATTCGTCTGCTGCCGTTGCTGCTATGTGTTCTCGAGAATCATAGGCAAAGAAGTTTCGATAGCTCAAAAGTATTGGCAAAACAGTGGCCTGCTGACCAGATTTTTCAACATCTTCTACTGTAATCCATTCATGCCACTTAGGGTTAATCATGTCCACAATTTCTGACAGGATCAAGTGTCCGGATATGTCAACCATAAGACCGTTTTGAACGAGTTCATTCGCGATCTCTTTGCAGAAACAATGTAAGGTGGCAACACGAATATACGACGATGTGCCATCGAGGTCAAGAATTTTCCATATGTACTTTATAGCCGCACGCGTGGCCGCATGCTCCGTTGCAATCACAAAATTTAAATACGTTTTGTAGTCCATAACATGCCGCTCACCGGTGTGAGGAACGTGGCATTCGAACACTCGTTTAATGGCGAGATGCGTAAAGCTGTCATTGCTATAGTGACTAATCTCCTCTAAGGTTAGCACTCCGTCTTCGTCTTTGTCGAGTGCCGTGAAGTGTTCATAAATACGATACATTAATGGAAACGAAAACCAGTTGTCCATGTTGAGAACCCCTTGAGAATAATAGTCGGTGGAAGCATAGCTAAAATAAATATCATCTCGGGGAACATCAATGACAATGTCAGAGTCTAAGACTCGCACTGTGTATCTGTCTTTGATATCTGAACCTTCATTTTCAAAGAAGACCACAATGGCAGGTACTGTATCATCAGCGTTGACATCTAAGGCCAGATCAGACTTGATGAGATTCGCTGAGACCTCAACGGCACATCCAACTGGGTACGGTAGGACGGCATCCTTAGGGTTGCTCTCGAACAGCCGTAGCATTTCCGAAAATGCATCACTCTTCATGACAGTATCTATGGATATAGAGCCCACATTGTGTGGATCACACATGAACATAAACTTCCGTGAGGCATGGCACAAATAGTATGACCGCATCCACGGTGGCATATCACGAACTAGCTTGAGATGTGGGATCAGTTTACAAATAAAATTCTCAAGATCTTTCTCTGTAAGGCTGTTGGATAGTGGTGATGAACGACTTGCTGAGCATGACACTTGCCTAAGTGATATCGCAGATCTTGGACACAAAAGTGGCGGAGGGATTGTCGCCACAATCTCAAGCTCCGCACGTAGTCGAAATAAAAGAAAACGCTTTGCAGCAAAGGCGTAAAGTGGAACCGCGGGAACTGTTTCCTTATCAGATCTCTTGAAAGCGAGAAAAACAGCAGGTGATAAAAATGGGTGGGAAAAGAACAGAGATTTTCTCTCATTCCTCACCTTTTGTGACGCATCTGAATCCTGCTCCGGTGTGACATGGAAAAGAACTTCGTACACCATGTTGCGATAGCCTTCATAGCTAAGCTGAAGTTCATTGTAAGACTCTACCATATCGTCATTATTAGAATCTTGATACCGGTATTTGATTATTCCACTCCATATTGTTGCTGGGTCAGTATTCACGACTAAGCGATCAATGTGACACGTAAGGTAATTCCTTTTCGCATGACATGCCGCCTGCAGAAGAGATTGTGTATCAGTATCCAAGGAATGATGAAACGAAAACATTTTTTATTCTAATTATTAAGATGGGAAAAAGGACTCATGAGCATGCAGAATATTAAAAAAACTGTAAAGGATGAAAAAAATTGATATAAAGGCCAAAAGTTTTTAGTGGAAACCAAATACATTGCCTTTAAGTTTACAGAAAAAAAATCCTGTAAGCAGTTAAGAAAAACGACATTGTTTTCACAAGCTTAACCCACATGTAGAGAAAATGTCAATTGGTCGATGGGAAAAAAATCATGCTTTCCTCCATACCATTCAGACACTATTTTTCTTTATACTCCAAGTCTGTAAAATTAATCTGAAATTTCAACTAAGCAGAATAAAAAAGGTTACAGTAAAATTTTCAGAATAAGGCCATACATTTGCTCTCCCAATGTGCTCACCATCAACTTATCTGATTAAGTTTACCTTTAATCATCCAGAAAGTAGGTCAAACGTTCAGTAGAATATCTGAATTTTCATATGCACTTTCAAGAGCTGTTTCCCTCCTCAGTTTTGTGTAGAGTAGATTTTTCAAAGACTACTTTTTCCATCTTGCAAATTTTGCACTGAACACGTGTTTCAAAGTTCAAGTATCCACATCGAGAACAAGTCCAATCATCGTACTGTGATGATTTAGAGAAATCTCTATCATAAAGGGGGGAATTTTCTCTTTGAGGCTGCTGAGTACCACAAACATTACAATGTTCATTTCCCTTCAAATTTGAAGCATGGCATGCAGTGCAAACCCACGTTGAGACTTGCACTTCTGGATCAAATATCTTCGGACTTGCACAGACGTGGCACTCAGAACGTGCCTTAAAATTGTGGGATTTGCATTTGTTACAAACCCAATCACCAGGCAAGAAGCGATCTGTTAGGGGTGTAACTGTATTTTTTGATGGAAAAAAAACCTTAGAACTCGATTTAGGGACTTCAGGAAGGTGTGGTTTCGAGCAGAAAACACAGTTTAGCCGGCGAGCGAAATTGTGTGCTCCACATTGGCACATCCAATCACCTTCTCTAAGTTCACACGGCTCAAAAAAACGTTTGGACTGCTCTAAACATGGCAATTGAAATAGACTTTTATTTGTTTTACCACACTTATTGCATCGTTTGCGGTAGGGAAAATTGGAATAACCGCAGCCACAGACCCAATCGCTGGAACCTGAAAGATTTGAAGAAAAATGAATTGTGTTAAATGACTTGCGGGTGAGTGAAAAAATACCGGATAAAAAACCTCGATGAAAAATCACCACAGGATTGAATTGTCTCATTACCTAAACGATAATCTTGCTTCCTATAAAATGTTAAGCAAATATTTAACCTTCTAAAATGAAAATAGAAGAAAGTAAAAATAAACATACATATAAAAAAAAAATTGCTATTAAAAAAAAAATTAAATTTAATGAGATTAAAATAAACTAAAAGTCAAGGCTCTCATTCATTCCCTTCTCTATAATCCTGCTTTCTAAGCTGCAAGAATGTGCAAGAAAAAAGGGCATGTAAATAATTTAAAAAATTATTGAATACAATGAAATAATAATAAAAATTGATATTCTCCCCATTTCAAAACAAACCACAGAAACCAACATTCACACTTTTTCTCTCCCTCTTTTCCACTCCCTTCCGTTACATCATTCATCATTGTCCTTTTAGCACACTCACACTAAGTCTAGGCCCTCCCTTCTCTCTCTCTTACTTATGGCTTGAAAAAGTGAATTACCAGAATATGGCAAAAAAAAAAGAAAACAAGACATCAATTCCCCCAAGCATCTTCCCCATCCAGATCGATATCTGGCGAAACCTCTTTTGCGGGTGTCGAAACAAACTTCACTTCATCTTGATCGCCTGACTCGTTGGGGGTTGCAGGGGTTGAGAGAGTCGCACTCAGCCTTTCCTCCCCTACAGGTTCTTCCTGAGGGAGACCCTCGTCTTTTTCCGCTGGATCAGGTGCGCTGCTGCCGCCGCTAAACTTAATATTAGGAAACAAGTTGGGGTATGAAGCTGGATTGGCGATTGCATCACGCACGTGTGGTAGTGCAGAAAGCGACTCCTTCCACTGTTCTACCGCCCCCTCGATCATGTCGGGGGAGTAGGTCCTGGCGTAGAACGCGGCCTCGGCAAAGCGATCCGCCTTGCACAATAAAGCCGACGCGTCAGCGTAGCGCTGCACCAGGTGAAAACAGGTGAAGGCCAGATTGAGTTTGTTCTTCTCCACACATTTATCCCCTAGCAGGGAAACCGAATCGAAGTCGTTGACAGATGTAAAGATAAGCAACAGACCACAGTAGTCCCCACATTTCCAATACGCATCGGTGGCGATATCAAAACAACCTTGGTCCAGGGCGATGTCACCTACCTGCTTCCAGCGCGCCGGCTCGGGTATGCGGTCGGCCAGCTGCTGAGCAAGTTCCAAATCCTTCAGCCGCACAGCCAACTCAAAGCGGTGGGCATCATCTGTTGTGGTCCGAAGAGCCATCTCATGCAGCCCACGTGACTCCAAAAAGTGAGCGATCTTGGGTTTATGGGTGTCCTCAATTGATTTAAGTAGCTCTTCGGCGGTACTGTAGTCCTCGCGTGCGATTGCCGCCATGTACTCGAGAATGCTCACCTTGAGTGCATAACTGGTCACGTTGTTCTCCTTATCGATGCAAAATATTCTACCTTCCTTCGCAACATAGCCTAACAAGTACTGATCCCGTGACACCACCGCAATCGCGTTAATATCCCCACCAATGTAATACTTTAGGCGGTTTGTCTGGGTGATGAATACAATGCATTCCCCAATCCACAGCAGGTCACGCACCTTTTCCTCAATCTCCTCGATAAGATCAAAGGAGGATTCCAGGCCATCCTCGTTTATTGGGTTATGTTTAACATACTCGGCCACCTCGCCGCTGTTGTACTTTAGCAAAAATATAGATTCCGCAGTCACAAGCGAGACGCCCTCACCGCTGCCGCTCCACTGCACCATCGTGGGCTGCGTGTCGATAACCCGGATTATGGACAGCGACGCCCAGTCATAGAACATGATATTGGCGGATGTCGCCACACACAGGACGGGGCCAGCAAAAATATGGTTCGCAGGCTCCGGTAAGGACAGCGTGGCGCGAATCTTGAAATTTTTGTAGATTTTCAGTGTCATGGATGTTTCCAGAACAGCGTAAGAACTACTTTCCGGGCCCCATGCAAAGGAAATACCGCTACCATATGATTTAGGGCGCAACGCCAGCGTCGATAAAATGGTGTACTCGCCACCGCCTATGAAAACAACGCTCTGACCTCCAGTGCTATGCTGAAGAAAGCCCCCAGATGTCTCCACGGTGCCGAGATCCTTGCGCACTAGGCTAAGAACCTCGCCATCAGGAGTATTTTCGGGAATTCCCTTGATGTCTAGGCGGTGTATTTCGTTACCTTGCGCAATCAGCACTCGCCCATTGGTGTCCATGGAGAAAATTGGCTTGGCTTCCCCCACTTTGAAGACGGTAAACCCACCATCGTAGCCTACAACAAGCACATTAGAACGATGCCTCGAGGCCATGGTCCACCCACGGCCCATTGCATTGTGATCAAGGCTGTGGAATAGACGAAAGGTTTCGCTGGATATCACCTTCATCGACGTGTCCTCGGCGACGGTGAAGATGAGGGGGACGTCCGGGTGGAATAATACCGCAGTGACGGTTTTGCTGTGAAACGTAAAGACATGCAAGCATGCCTTCGTTTGGTAATCCCACAGCCGTACCTCGCAGTCATCAGATCCGCTTAGCAAATACGGCTTGTCGCCCCGTGGGTAGTACTCCACGCAGTTGACTCCCGAGGTGTGGCCCTCCAAAAAGTACTTGGGCTGGGAAATGTTGATGCTCCACACCATCACCGTCCCATCAAGCGAAGCCGAAGCAAAGGTGGAGGGATCACCCGGATTCAAGGCAACCGCCATGCAGTAATTCTGATGTCCTCTGTATGTCATTTGTAATGTCCAATCTTTACTCCAGTCCCATTGACAGATCGTCTCATCGTCAGAGCAGGTCAGAACAATCGGTTGTTGGTCATGCACGGCAATCGATCGGATATAATCAATATGGGCCTGAAAAACCTTCGTGCGCTCCATCGTATTGTAGTTGTACACTCGTAAGTTCATGTCATCACAGCCGCAAACAAATGACTGCAACTTCGGGATGAAACGAACGCAGCGCACAGGCATCCCTGTGGTGGTGTCAAAGGAACGCACTAGCGTCTCGGTTTCATAGTTCCATAGATTCAAAACACCGTTATAATGTGCCGCAATGAATATGGGATCGCGAACATGTATATCAACCATCTTCACACGCTCGGAGTTCACGGAGAAGCGAACCGCCAAAGGTCCCGTCGCTTGCGCCATCAATGCGTTATTTGACTGCCCAGTATCGTTAAAGCACTTCCCCTTACCTCTTTCGAACCAATGGCTAACACTGCGTCACAGGCGATGAAAGCCTAGGATGTAACTAAGCAACACCTAAAATTTATCTTTTCAAGCATAAAGGAGGGCAAAAAGTGCGTAAAAAGTAAAGATAACTCGGAAATGTGTGAAAAGTGAATGAAGCTAGACCTGTTATAGGTTTATTTTTCTTATCTCAATCTATAACAAACATTTCAAATTTTTCCTACCGATTTATTTTATCTCATTTCAACCATCATTGAAATAACACTAACCAAAAATTATATCTTTATCTTTCCTCTTAAGACGATATGTGTCTTATTCCGTCTCATTTTTGAGCTTTACGACGAAAATAACCGACTCACCACGAAGAAAAAGGTTACGAATTGTCCTTTCTTTTTGCTCCGCCTTATCGTTCCCGCTAAGCTCGACCACATTTTGTAGAACCATATTAAAGTGCTTATCAAAAGCCAAAACATTTGCAAGAAGAGATTTGTTGAATCGACATTGAATGAAAACCTGAATTCCGTCTTTCATAGAACTTTCTAATACACTAAAGGGACCTTGAGAAACTGATGTTTCAAGTAGTTCCTTTGTTGTCGGTTTTGCTTTTCCAGATTCAACTCTTCTATATTTATTTGATTGTTCGTTGGGCATTGTGTGTAATATAACAATAATAACCTGGAGAAAAAAATCCTCTACAATTCAGTTAATATGCTCTATATTATGTTAGACTAAATAAATATCAATTTATTTATTTGTATTTAGGAATTAATTAGACCCTACTAATATTACAAGAAGTAATAGAAAGAAGTTTAAGTGAAACCTATATTTTCATGAAAACACTCAAATCTCATGGTCGATTCTATTGGATAAAATCATTTCGTCATAATAACACGTAACAAATGACAATATGCATTCCTTTTTCTATAACTCTCTCAAATAATAACGTTAAACGCAAATATTATCTTTGGATTCAGAAAAAAAAAAGAAGTAATATATAAGTCTCTGAAATGAAATCAATAGCAATCATACGTGTACCGATTTGCATTTAAAAATGGTCCCAAGCTTCATATACATTCAAAATATTACACACTGCTTGTTTGTTCATAGACCGTAATGAAAGGTTCTATTATCAACAAAGGTATGTAACTTCCTAAGACCTACGCATGTTTCTCATTAAAACAATCCAACTCTATTTTTATTATTCTAAGATGCATTTTTTTCGTTTGGGTTGCAAAAAGCATCATGGATGGCCAGTCCCTCCATCCCCTTCTGTGTATTGGGTGTAGATCTCCCCGGTGTTGGGATCAACATAAGCCGGATAGCTCTCACCGGTTTGAGGGTCCACATAGACGTAGCGTGTGTAGGCCTCCGCCGCCGCGTTTGGATCATGGTGGGTGTGGCCGCTGTCCAGTTGGGGCCCTCCCTCCTCCGAAAAAAACCCTGCGGTGGTGGGTCGCTCGGGGTGGTCGCCCTCCCCCCCTCCGGCGTGTGCGGTGGTATCCGTGAGGTTGCTTTTCACACTTGTGGCGGGCCCTGACGTCAGGCCCTGGGTGGGATGGTCGTGGGGAAGAGGGTCTGAGCCCCAGGCCCCGGCCTCATGGGCCGCCGCAGGGCGCCCTCCCTGCAACAGCCCCCCCCCCGTCAGGCCCTCCGCGGCGGAGGCCGGGTTGCCGTTCAGGCGCCGTTTCTCGTCCTCGATGATGAGGGCGCGCTCACGCTTTTTGGCGTGCCGGTGCCCCAAGTACCAGGAGTAGCGAAAGAAGATCAGAACAAAGGGGATCACCGCGATCAGGGCGATCCCCCACAGCCCGGTCCAGAATGGGCAGTCCAGCGCCTCCGGGTAGTCCGCGTCGGTGTCGGGAAAGTCAAACTCGGCGAAAGGCTGAGCTCCCGGGCCCTCGTTTCCTCCTTGTTCGGTTGTTGTCCCATAGGGGCTACGTCCCTCTTGCGTCCTCAGAGTAAAGGGCATCTCCGGGTTGGGTGCCGATGGGCGCACCATCTCGGAGTCTTGATGAGGGTTTACAATGCCATCGTGGGGTAATACATTTTGGAGGAAGGTTTGAACTTCAAAATCATGTCGCCCTCGCCACGTCGCATAGGTGTTGTGTTCGATATAGTCACTACCATCGGGTCTATAACGTGTCGTGAACTTCACAAAGTCCGGTGGACATAGCGGTAAAAGGGAATCTGTGAGATTCCCACGGCACGGTTCCCTTGTATATTCCCCTGTAATATGCAAAAGAACCGGTAGGTTATTTCCTAGTGTCGCCGAACACACTCTCGCAAGCTCATCAAGAGATGGGCCTGAGGTCTTTTTCGCCCAGGAACTGAGTGTCGTGTGGACTTTAGTCCCATCCTCTAAGGTACCCGTCTCAATAGTAATACAAAGCCTCAAAACATTATTTTCTAATGGAGTAATAAATGCACGACAGGGGGTTGTATTTGTTTCAAATGAGCTACATACAATGTCCGTAATGTCGCGCTCGATAGAGTTGAGAATGTCATCCTTTGTTGGCCATGCACACGATGGATCTCTCAAAGTAAGCACAAGTGTGTGTGAAGAGACAACCTTGTCCAACGAACACACCGGCATCGTTAGATAATCCAAACATATTATTAATAGTAAGGTCACTATGGTAAATGAGATATTAAATTTCATGGCTTAAACACATACTACCACATATGAACTGTTTAAGATAAAATCAAAAACTTTTAGGCTTGAATATATAATGTATAAACTGATAAATGCCCGTTAAACTAAAAAGCGTTAGAGTAGAAGAAAAAAAAAGAAGTTAGTCAGAAATGTAAGAAAAAGAGAAAACAGAGGTAACTATTGAATAGGTATTGAATTGGAAAATTTAAGCGAAAATATATGCAAGAACTTTTTGTGAATTGAACATATACACTACAATAATACAGATAATGAAATTGAAAATACATCGCAATGTTACCTATATAGCTATAATTCTAGCATAGAAATCTTAATTATATGAAGAAGAAAATTCACTGAGTTGTCCTAGATTCATTACAATACACAGAAAAAAAAAGTACAAAGACGCTGCATTGTACGAGATTACTTTTTAAGAAGCGATTCATAGGGTAAAGGGGGGAGTCTATTTACATCTTTCCGGTTGAACACATCGGTTATATAACGTCCGTAGGTCGTTTGAGATTCAGACAACACTCCTACAGGCTCCTTTGCCGTGTTCGAAGAGGCCGCACCGTTGGGGTAGTTTCCCGCCTCCTCTTTAGCCAAAATCATCTCCGCCGTGGGGAAAATTCGTTTCCCGTGAATTCGGTCGATCGGGGAATAGCCGCAGGTCCGGGAATCCCGCCCAGAGGCCCCCATCGCGTAGTGCGTGAGCTGCTCCCGAAGTGAGGCCGGGATAACATGGGGCTCAGGACGCGAGCCCAACAAAGCCCGCAAGATCCCGCGAAACTCCTCCCGCTCCGACTCCAAATATACCAACCGCTCCTCAAAATCGGCCCATCGCCCCGGGGCGAAGTCTTTGGAGGGTCTCGCCCCGATGCTCTGAGGGTTCGAAACGAGCGAAAAAAACGACCCCGGCGGGTTGGCGGACTTCCCGTCATCCACCCCACTGCGATCCAGCCGAAGCCCGGCCTCGATTTGTCGAATCCGCCGGTCGTAATCCACCAACGCCGTCGCGAGTTTTTGGGCCTCGGGCGTCGTCATCGCGGCCACCAACGAGGGCGGGGAAGAGGGGCTCGGGATCTGTGATTTCACGCGCGCCATCGCCCCCGCGACCTCGCGCGCGTTTAATTCAGACCAATGCGCGAGGCGGTCGTGCAAATCGCGCGTGATGACCCGCCGAAGGGCGAGCAAAAGCGGCGAGCGGGCGAACATCCCATCCACCGCTTTTTCCACTTCGGCGGAAATCCCGGGATTGCAAAGCTCCGAGGCCCCCACGCCATAATCCCCCGGCGGCGGGCTGGGGGAAAAGGGGGGAAGACGCGTCATGTGCGCCTCCGCGTCGTAGGTCCCGAGCCAGGTGGAGAGGCCGTCGAAATCGTGCCGGTGCTCGTCCATCCGTGCGCGCAGCTCGCGAAGTTGGTGCTGAAGATCGTCCTGATCTTTCATAAAAGTGCGGGTCGTCTCGAGGCTTTCCCGCAGTGCGGCCTTCAAATTGGCGTTATTCCGCGCTAATTTCGTCGCGACGGCGAGCATGGCGACGAACAGTTCCGAATCTGAAATTTCCCCATCGGGGCCTTGCACGTCCTCGGTGATGATTTCGTTGATGAAGTGGTCGACCTCCCCGTCGTTTCCGTCGTCGTAGGTCCCGAAAAGGCACTCCTCCATCTTTTTTCGCGCGTTAACGAGGAGAAAACGCTTGACTTTGCTCACGGTATCGCTAGAATTGGATATCTTGGTATTGCACTCATCAACTCGCTTTCGTAAAGTGTAGATGTCATGAGATAATTGGGAGCTAAGTTTTGAAAGATAGGTTTCAAGGCCAGATGTGTTCACAATTAGTGGTGGAACTCTGAGGCTGTTTCCTTTATACCCGTCGGACGGATCCATCGTTCACAGCGTGCGAGAAGGCAAATTATCTAATCACTTTGGGGGCTAAAACAAGAAAACAAAAGGTATTGGAGACAACTTGACGCTGTCAAAATCACTTAGGGTTGCAAAAGGAAAAGGAAACTTTCGAAGTTGCATCTGGATCAAGAGAATATCGATATACCATAAATTGTGAAATTTCACTGCGCATCTAATGGGTTTGTTAAACATTGGATCACCACTTTTTTTTTGCGCCTGGTTGACTACGATAGCTCGTTAAAGCCTTTGTGGCTATTATCGCAAGGTATTTATTAAAGTGAAATCGCCCAGCAAAAGGGAAACAAGAACCCTCGCGTGTATCTCTGAAAGACGTTGTCAACTACGTTCAAAACACTCAAACGCAAGAACAGGAAATATGATGTGTAATAAAAACAGACTCAACTAAAACCAACCGAAAATTATTCACGGATATCGGATAGATGGTCCGACCCAGAAAAGTCCCCAACCATTACAACCAATAATAACAATCAAATAAAAGACTGGATCCATTTCTATGTTCTGAGAGCGATCAACTTCTCTTTGTCCCGCTTGTACTCCATCATTTCCTCCCGAACAATTTGAGTGTAGTCCTCGCTTTTGGGGAGTAATATTCGCCGAATCGCGCGGAGCGTCTCGAGGGTGCCCAGATTCGCAGCGTATGAAAACCGCGCAAAGTCCTCCCGCGAGACCGGCGCCGATTCCCCATTTTCCCCTCTGCGAAGTAGACGCCAGATTGCCCCTATCCACAAAAATTCCCTACCCCGACAGGTCTCCTCCGAGCGGTTTTGTACCTTGTGAGAAGCGAAGTTCCCATCTTTTTCCTCGAAAAGGTTTAAATCGGACGAATTCCCCCCCATCTCGGCATTTCCAGCCTGAATTCGAGCATTGGGGGGTAGAATTCGCCGCTTTTCCGTGAGGATCGCGTCGAGAAGAGGGCGAAAATCGATTTTATTCTGGCGAAGTTCCCGGACCGCGACGGCGAAATCCCGACGCCGACCCTCCGCAAGCTCCTCCATTTCCGTCTGCGAAACGGCGATGAAGTCATCGAGGTGATGTGAAAGCTGGTGAAGTTCATAATATTGCTGAAAACACTCCATCACCGTCCAGGCCGTCAAAATTTTCAAAAATAAACTGCAATAGTAGTAAATATTGTCCGTCCTCTCCCACTTTGCGTAGGAGAGGATGGCGTTCTGGAGAAGCCCGAGATTGTGTTCGAAGTCCTCGCGCGTCGGGCCGAGAATCAGGCGATCCCTGTCAAAATCGAGATCCGCGAGGAGAAAATGCTGATTAAGACTCATCGTGCTTCCGCGAAAACGCTTCATAAAGGCCATCCGCCGCTGCGCGAGGGAGATCGCCGTGTCGGGATCGTCCTCCTCAGAAGACGGGGCGAGATTATGCTTTCTTGGGCGTAAAAAACTTAAATTTTTATCCCCCCGCACGCCAAACCCCCCGCCGATCCCCGATTTTGACGACGGGGAGCTGTAGGGGAGGGGGGTCGAGAGGAAATCCGCCGTATTCCCGCGATAGGCCTCGAAGGCCGGGCCAAAAGTGGGCTCCGACGGCAGATTGACGACGGGGACGCGGCCAATGGAAGAGCGGGCGGGGGATATTTGCGCGTCATTGCCTCCTTCGCCCGCCGCCGGGTCGAAATCGCCCCGCCTCCCCTCGTCTGAGGGGTGATGGGGGCGAAAGTTTGGGAAAAATTTGCGAAAAGGGAGTCGGAAGGCGAGACATGGGGTGCGCCGCATGCTAAATGACACTAAAAGATGCTTTAAGGGGGGGGGGGGG